TGACGTGCAGTAGCTTTACAGACCATTTTTAGAAGATTATTAGCCCAAAAAAATCGTTAGTCAGAATGGGCTGTTAGTTTCGAAATTGAATTTGGCGGCGTATCACTTTAAATGTGTGAATAGCTTTTCTTATTGTTGCCGCGAAACATTATCGCCCTGTATTATTTAAAAAAATTAAATAAAGAAGAATCTGCTTTAATGTATGTATGTTTCTCGCACTGTGAAAAACTGGCGATACCTGAGCCATCAAACTTTCAATAACGTAGTCCTCCACGCGAACATGTGCACCTGGAAGCCCGAATTTTCAGTTTAGAGTTTTATATTTCATATACTATAAACCTTTAATGAATTTTTAACATCGAAAGGGAGCAGTGGCAACTCTAAGGATTAAAACAGTGTTGTCTGCAGCACGAGAGGCTTTATATAAAAAATTCTAAAGATATGCTGTATTTAAATATGTACGCTACATTTTGGCGGAAAGCTTTCAAAACCTCCTACTTGAAAACTAAGATTCACTCACATTTCCTTAAATTTTTTTTTTAAATGTAAATAAAAAACGAAAAACATGTCATGTGAAGCTATATGCTGAGTTTATTTCATTACTTTTATATATCACAAAAAATGGCAAGATCAAAGGGAAAAGCATAATTATAATTATGCAAATTTTTGTGTTAACCCTAACGTCAATAATCCGTATCAAAATATTGAAAATTTCGGAACTTTATCACCTCAGCCTGAACAAACTAAATTGCGATATTTAAATACCCAGAATTTTATACTTTTAGTTGAATTCGCATTTAGTTGATACTTAATAATTTGACACATTTTCAACGCGAGGTGGTTTCAATAAATGTGTTTATTTGTAATCCACCCCACAATAATCTTCTGTATAAGGATTTCAATAAATTTCTCTTCAAGTGATGCATGGGACCTGGCATGCTTCATCAAAAAAACAATAAAATCAATTACAAAAAAAAAAGTCTCACGTCATCTGACAGGCAGTCCATATATGCCATCCATTCTTAAATAATACCTTTTCGGGATGATTTTTGTTACGCTTAAACGATATTTTATTCAAATTTAGTCTTGCAATAAGCATTTTTGTGATGTTCGTAAGCGGCATCGAACGTTTTATCCAATTTCTTCTCATTTTTCTTGCGAATCGATAAGAAACATCAATTTCGAAATGCATTCATCTCTCTCTTTTTTTTTCTTTTCTTTCTCTTGCATAAGCCAAAAACATATTTCTTTGCATGGCTCGAGGACGAAGATATATCGGAAGAGTTATTTTGCTTTTTATTACTTATTTTCTATTTTTAAAATTCCAGACGTCAAATTGTCCCCTACGCTTTTTATTTCATTTCCATATACAAAAGCAATTTTTGTGGCCGTAACTCTGCTGAAGAAATTCAGAAAAGATATTTATAAGAATAAATCATCCATATTTTCAAGTCGTTCTTAAACACCGTCTAAGGGGGAAAAAATCTGAATTATTCCTTTTTTTTTTTTTTTTTTTTTTTTTTTTTTTGTGCATATAAATGTAATTCTATCTAGTATCAGTAATTTCTTTGATAAATGGAAAGTGCTATTCTGTCAAAACGAGCTACTGAGAAATTTCACTATTGTTTTGATATGAAATATTGAATTGGTATACTTAATACCATGGAATTCCTTAGAGTGATAGCTTGAAAACTATGAGTTATTTATTGCCACTTTTCTCCTTTTGTTCTCGATATTAATTTTATTTAGTTATACATCTCTAGTTTTCAAGTCAATGTTTTGTAATATTATTTTCGATGGATTACAATCATTGGTACTTCGAATTCTGCTCCCCAGCAATCTCCAACATATGACGTCTGTTCAAAACATTTCTGAATTTCATACTTATTTTTATTTATTTATTTATTTTTAGCCAAAAGGGATGTAAACCCAGAAGGGTGATTAGTCTCAAAGCGACATTTTACGTAGAATCACTAAAAGCGTTGAATCACTTTTGAGATTCCTACCACCAAATATTATCGCCTGTATTATACTTAAAGAAATTAAATAATGAAGAATCTGCATGAATGCATGAGTATGTCTTGCATTGTGAAAAAATAACTGCACCTTTTGAATAACGTAATCCTCCACTCGAATATGAGAATCTGGAAGCCCGCAATTTGGATTTCAAGTTTGTTTTATTATCTATTTCATCTTTTGTGAAAGTTTAATAAATTTTTGATTAAGAGATTCAACGATTTCAAAGCGAGCTGTGGTACCAAAAAAGAAAGCATGGAAAAAAAAAGCATTTTTTGCCTGTAGTGCACGAGACTGTCTAGCGGAAGCTGTAGATAAATCTAGAGTTATGCTATGTTTAAATATTTTTAGGCTGAAGGGACGTTAGGACGTTAACCAAATGTTCTCGAAACGTGTATGTGTGTGTGTAAATGAAAAAAAAAAAAAAAAGAAAAGAAAAAAGAAAGGAAAAAAGCCAATTTAGGCGTAATATAAAATCTGAAATCTTTCAGACTTGTGTCTTTTATTTACTCATTTATTTATTTAACTATTTGTTTGTTTGGTTCCGCAGAAATTATTCAACTTTATCGCTTTTGAACTGCTACACCTTTTAATTTTTGTCTCTTCCAACGTCATTTCTACTTTATAGCAATTTTCATAAGCTTATTTCGGGAAGTTTCGTTTTCGAATATTTTTATCTCACCGATTATAAACTTTTATCCTATTTTATCCTTCAGTTCCCTAGAACCCATTCCTCCTATCTTCAATGAAGCATAAAAAGCAATTTCTACTATCTGGTTACTTATTATAAAACTGAAAATTAATCTTAGATATAAATGCATTAACACTTAGGTTTTTTTTAAACTGATTACAGAAATACATGATAATTCATTCTTAATTCAAATACTGAAAATATATATAAAAAGTCTTCTTTATAAAATCTACCTAAATTTGTATGATTGTTTCATAAATTTATTTTAATTTACAAGCGTAAAAATACATTTTTTTTTTTTTTTTTTTTTTTTTTTTTTTTTTTTTTTTTTTTTTGCTTGCAAAAGCTTTTAGCAAACAATTACAAATCTTTTAGCTTGTAACTATGTAAAGATAAACGGTCCGAAGAAAGAAGGAATCCTAAGAAAGAAAGAAATTATGTACTTTGAAAACTCTGATGGGAGATCTTAATCGACGGGAGACCTTAATTTATTCGGAATTTTCCAAGACAATGGATAGAACGAAAAGATGAGGTTAAGGTCATCTTTGCACCCATCTTTTTATCACGCCTGGATTTCTATCTATGGGAAATCCTTAAGCTATGGGTGTTATCTTAAGGATTGTGTTTAGCTTGTATCCTTAAGCTAATGTGAGAGATATTTGGTATTTTTTTAAAGCAGGAGAGATGAAAAATGAGCAATGCCCTCGCCAGGACTCAAACCACGGACCTCTCGAATACACCCCGAGCGTGCTGACCACTACACCACGAAGGCATGATAAGAAGGCGGGAGAAAAAACTTGCATGGGCATCGCACTATCACCTACTGCATTGCTGGCGTTTCGGAAAAAAATTCAAACGGCAGTAAGTGTAGCAATTTTATTGGACGCTTTGGGCCAGATTTTCTCAAATTGCACTTTGTCCTAATCAGATATATCTGAACAATTGTGGTAACCACTTTCAGTACTGCGTATTAATTTTATTCATCCAAAGCTTCCCAATTGGTGTAGAAGGAGGCCATAACTTTGGATCCAGCTTCGAATCCTGCAAAAAGCATAAATGCTTGCAAGTGTGCAGTCCTCTAGAGAGGGTGATTGTAGCGAAGAATGGTGAAAGCTTCGAGACAGGGGAATTAATTCTGCGCCAATATTGTGATAGGAAACAAGCTCCTATGAAACGTGCCTCGGGGAATTAATTCTTCATCAGTATATTGTGATGTGTTCATCAATATTGTGATAGGAAACAAGCTCCTAGGAAACGCGCCTCGGGGAATTAATTATTCAATATTGTGATGTATTCATCAATATTATGATACGGCCCTTTTCTGACAGGTGCAAATTGGATCGCCTCCTATGGTGAATCCTTGGCAATGTTATCAGTGATGATACGGCTAAATCACAAATGAAATTTATTATAACTCCCGGTGAATGCTTAACCCCACAAGTGTCTAAACGTTGGGGGAGGACCTTTTATTCGTCCTACAGTATCTGCGTAAACTTCGTACTTCAACTTTCTATGTAGGCTTTTGTTTTGTTGTAATGTGTTGCATATTTTTGGAAACTTTATTGGACTAGAAACTCACATAAGTTAAGAAGTTATTTTCGTATACATAGTAATTCCTTTTGTGTCATCTTTTTCCGAGATTTCCTGAAGTATTATGTTTAGCAATATTACCTTCACAGCAAGATTTACTGCCTATTATGTGAAAAAGCGTGGAATTCTTGTTGTTATGCACGAAGTCCCATTTTAAAAGCATATACATGCGTGTATTAAGTATTGTTCACCAACTGACCAAACTCCTGAAATTTGCCCACCAGCGGCCGAGCGGTAAAGACGCTGAACACTGGTAATTCGGTCCGAGGTTCGAATCCCGCGAACGGGCTGGCTGCATGGGCGTTTTCGTGGTTTTCCCCATGTGTAAAGTGTATACGAGCCAGTTTCCCTTAGAAAGTCCTCCACAAAGGCATCCCTCCCTTTAGGCAGATAGCCCTCGTGTGCTTTCCCATAGTTGAACAATCCCAATCCCTTCTGAAATTTAATGATAATTTAATAAAAATAATTTATTAGCAATAAATTATGATCAATTATGAAAATCATTTGTCGAGCTGCATTGTGCTATTTATATACATGTCTGTGCTATTCCTATACATGCTTGTATTATTTCTATACATGCTTGTGTTATTTCTATAATGTCTGTGTTCTTTCTATACATGATGAGTGTTTTTATAGTGTTATTTCTATACTTGCCTGTGTAAAAACGTAATAAGTAATACTCTTTTTTTTTTTCTTTTTCTAGTGTAGGTTACTGTAGACTAAGGCTGTAACAAGTTGAAGAAAACCGTTTCCTCATGACATGGTACCTCAGCGAAAAGAGTGAAGTGTCCAAGCATGTGCCAAGCATGAGGCTGGCCACCAGGATTGTTTTGCTGTTGTTTTCCATATCCATCGTTTCAGTGATACTAATTGGTAGATGTGGTTTAAAGCTGGAAGAAGAGCTTCGCATCGAAAGTTCTGCTTCAGGTCCCATATCTCCTGATACGGGAAGTTATGCATTCCAGTTAAGTAACACTGAAGAAGAAAGTGATGCTATGCGAAAGAAGGATGATGAGTATCGCATTGAAACTCAACGGCTCTTGAATGAAATAGCTGATTTGAAGAGCAAACTCGAATTGATCCAGAAGCTCCAAGAAGATGTAAAACCAATACCTGTCAAGGGAATAGCACCTGGCAGTTTACTAGGTGTTGAAGAATGTGGAGATTACATTCAAAAACAAATATCAGCTGCGGAGATAAAGCATGGAGTTCAACTAAACAATGAATACGAAGTGCTTCCTTTTTCCCATTTTACTTTCAGCAGGGTTTATCCAGTTGATTTAGGATTAGGTAAGAGAGTTGTTGAAAAGCCTATTGGATATAGGAGAAAAGATTTATTGGAAGTATTTGTAAGAGCCCTCGAAATAGTCAATAAAGACAGACAAGGTAAAACTAGGTACACGGTTGATGACTTTGTTGAAGGAGTCTTTAGAAATGATCCTACCACTGGAACACAGTATTCACTGTACTTCAGAGAGCGAAATATATCCAGAACATATAGAACTCTCACACTGATCAGACCTTTCGCTCCAATACAAGCAGTAACAGACGAAATAGAAAAAACATCAAAACAACTTATCAATGTCATATTGCCTTTATCTGGACGTATAGATAAATTCCGCAGCTTCATGGACAAATTTATCAAAGTGGGAATACGCCATGATAAACGAATATTTTTAACTGTAGTGTATTTCGGACTTGATGGTCTATATGATGTCCAAGAATTGCTAACCAAAGTTTCAAGGGACACAAAATTTCGTAATTTCAAACTTTTAACTTTAAACGATACTTTCTCCAGAGGAAAAGGTCTCCATGTTGGAGCCCAGCACTGGACAAAGGGCGATGTTTTGCTTTTTATGTGTGACGTAGATATAATATTTTCCACCAAATTCTTAGAAAGATGTCGACTAAATACAGCACCAGGCAAGAAGGTTTATTATCCTATCGTATTCAGCCTGTATAATCCATCTGTGGTATATTCGCTCCAGGGAAAGGATGTGCCATCAGAGACTGAGCAGTTGCTAATTTCTAGAGATACTGGATTCTGGAGAGATTTTGGTTACGGTATGACATGCCAGTACAGAAGCGACTTTCTTGCAATTAAAGGCTTTGATGAGGAGATTGTTGGATGGGGAGGAGAAGACGTCATGCTGTATCGAAAATATGTGCGTAGTAAGTTAATGGTTGTGAGGACCACAGATCCAGGAATCTTCCACACGTGGCATGAGAAAAAATGCGATAATCTGGGTCTGTCCGTGGAACAACAAAGAGCATGTTTGAGATCAAGAGCTTTAAGTGAGGCCTCTCATGCTCAGTTGGGATTGCTTGCCTTTCGGGATGAACTGAAAAAGCGCGAAAACCATTCTTTTCAAATAGGAACATTAAAAGCGGAAGCGATCCCAAAAAGTAAAAGCGGTGAAAATTCTTCAGCGCCTGAAGCGTAACTAAATTTGCCAAATGATTATCAAAATCAGAGCTTGTATAAATAAATAATTGTTTTCTAAAGTCTGAAAAATTTGTTATTTAATTGAAATCAAAGCTCATTTTCAAAACTCGGTTTTGAAGTTTTATTTTTCTCTTCAGCTTTCAGATAATTAATTTCACAATCTTGTTTGCCAAATTTTTAAAATGCATTCTTTTTGATCAAAGTTAATTACTGCAGTGGTTTGTTACTTCGAAAGGGCAACTAATGATCTGAAGTTAAATAAATCGAGACCATTGCAATAAATAACATCTTTTATTATTTATTTCCTTTCTTTGTTAGCAGCATACGTCTATTAATCTCACTGGTTTAGTCAAAATATTCTTATGCATTTCCTTATTTATTTTAAGAGAAAAAATTAAGAAGAATATAAAGAAATGAAAGATACTTAAAAAATAAAAATATTCCTAAAATTACTTGCGCATAACGATTAAACATAATTCATGATTTATGAAATATGAGATTTTTCACTTTTGCTTTCGCATTTAGATATAAATAAGAAAGGCTAATGAGGAGACTCTAGTTTAGTTTGAACATTGGATGAAATCTTTACGTCAAAATTAAATAATTTATAAATTGTTAATATTTCCGCTCGTAATTAAAGCTGTAATACTTGTATTTATTACAACCTCAAAAAATTAACATATGCTTTACAGCTTAAATGTGCATTTACTTACAAATACAGTAAAAATTTTAATTATCTAAAACTTTAATCACTTGAACTCCTTCTTTCATTTCTCTAGGCCAAGATTGTTAATTTATATTACATGTTCATTTTTTTAACTTGATTCCTTAAAATTATACATTTGTTCCAAAATTTCAGTGTAACAATCATTCAAGTATAGAATACATGTATTAAGAGTAACTGTATGCTTAATATATCTTTACTTTTTTATTTTACAACAATAAAATATGATGTTTTATTTTTAAGTAAAAGCAAGTTGTAGGTTCTGCTTCATGCAAATTCCTTTCAATGTAAAAATAAAACAAGGTTATGCCTTTACAATTAGATTCCAAATAATAGTAATTTTGTTACTTTGTTTCCGTTGATATAAAAATAGGTAGTACATTTGGGCCAATAAAAAGCATGGTACTTGCATATTAACGCAATCACTTTAATAGAAAGTAGCTAGATTTTCAGAATGCGCCAACTTCTAGCAACCATGCGCATAATCATTCTTACGGCAGCCATGCTCATAAGAATCCTTCGACAAGCAACGCCACCATTTTCATACGTGTTTTTTGGTTTGTTTTGTTGTTGTATTCCAAGTTCCAAAGGTTTTTATAAATGAATCGTGATATTTTTTGCCATGAGCTTGAGGAATTTGCCAGAAATGTGAGAAACTGCGACAAAATTTCTGCAGAAATGCAGAATTTTGCTGAAAATTTTCTGAAGGGAACAACGAAGAACTGCGTTTCCTAGATAGCCGCTGTTGCCGAAGTTGCATGAGTCTCTACAATTCTCTGATGTTTTTAAGCGGAAACAGATCGCCGTGTGCTTCGAAGAAGAACGGCACAGAAAAAAATTGCAGAAAGATTTGAAAAAGAATATGATTATTTTATTTTTAACGTATCACGTACTTACTTAATAATTATAATTGGTACTTACGTATTAACGCAACCAGGCCAAAATTCAGATAAATTTCAAAATTTGGCGACCCTACTTACGGCAACCCTACGTGTTATACGTAGTTTTGTAAAAAGAGCATGTGGAGATTCACAAAATTTTCGTGCAAATTTTTGTAATTTATTAGCAATTAAACCCTTCCGGTTTCGAATTTGAATAAGTTGCAGAATTATTTTTTCGGCGGAAATCTTTTCGCTATTGCTTTAGCACTGATTGAAAACCGTATTCGCCATAACCATGTACACGTCGACTTATTTTTACTTAAAAAAACATCCCAGAATTGCACAAAAATGGCATTGCGCACACTCTTGACTTTATCCATGTACACTGCTAATTTCTCATAAATTACAAAAATTTGCACGAAAATGCAGGAAAATTTTGTGAATCTCCACATGCAAAATAGCAGTGTACATGGATAAAGTCAAGAGTGTGCGCAATGCCAATTTTGTGCAATTCTGGGATGTTTTTTTAAGTAAAAATAAGTCGACGTGTACATGGTTATGGCGAATACGGTTTCCAATCAGTGCTAAAAGCAATAGCGAAAAGATTTCCGCCGAAAACATAATTCTGCAACTTATTGAAATTCGAAACCGGAAGGGTAAATAGCGTCAACCTGGTTGCGATAATACGTAAGTACCTTAAAATTTTCATTTTAAATTGCTAAGGCATGTTTTCTTTTTGTATGTCGATAATGTTTACCGATTTATGATAAACATCGATAATTTGGAAATCTTTCTGAAAAAAAGGCACGAAAACCATCTTTTCACCCAATAAGTAACTTCTACCCTTTCATCTGTAAAAAATCGCCGAATTGCGCCAAGCTGGTTGCATAAATACGTAAGTACCAAAAATAATTTTCTTGATTAAAATGATCCAAAAGCGTATTTTATATATTCTTTTACAGAAATAAAGGTATTTTGGTTTTCGATTGCATAAACTTTGTTTAAAAGTATGATAAACTAAAAGTTTAATGATTCTGGATCAAGGTTATGTAATATTCGGCGTTAGAAACATCATTTATTAATTGCACTAATACCACAAATTTTCACGAAAATTATCGGCTGGATATTGTTAAGTATTATAGCTTCAAGATCTCATAAAACAAGGCCGGATTTAAAAAAGCACTTGAATTTTTTTTTATTTATTATTATTATTATTATTGTTTTTTATTGAAGCTTCCAACGAATTTTTACAAATGAATTAAAAGCACCTAAAAAAAGGTTCAAAGAGAGCTAAAAGATAGCTATAAAATTCTCATTAACGTAAGATAAAAATTGCGAATTAAAAGACCATTTAAGGCAAAGACCTAAATCATTAAGTATTATAACTCAATAACACATTAATTTAGTGGACTAAATTTACACTTTTTCAGGCTCTTTGTAGTCTCCTATTTATACCACAGCCAACATGGGAAAATGGCATTAACAGAAGGCTCTATAAAAAGCAGTCTGTAGGTCTGAAAACCGTGTGTTTCAGGAACATCAACTAAAAAGTAATTTAAAGAAAGCAGAGATGTAATGCGGAATCTGAATTACAATATCGCTTCTACAGCAGAGACCACAATCATTGGGTATTGATAAGAAACTCAACATCAGTCTAACAAATTAAGTCTCGAGTTCCTTGCGACTACTTATTTATACACAGTCAAAAGGTGGGGACGATATTATCAGAACATTCTAGAAAAAATTTTCTTATATTTCTGAAAATATGCTTTTTGTAAAATTCTAAAATATCACTAGGTTTGCCACAAAAAAAAATTGTCACGAGCGACAAAAATTTTTCCGCTTATGTTTAGTAGATTCCTCTGCATATATCTGAAGTTTTCCTCACGCTAACTTCGAAAATTCCACTTCTATTCACTCAAAATCTCGAGTATTACAAAATAGCAAAACAGTTAAATAGATAAGTTAGGTTTCTCGAACATGGCAAAGTATGTAAGAGTTATTAGAGTTATTTAAACGAAGATATGCATTCGAAACATGGTAAATAGGTAAATGGGCATGGAGCACCAGAAACTTCACTTACAGAATCGAACAGGTATTGTCCCAATACACTAACCAGTATAAAAAACTTGAGCTGACTATATGCTATTTCTAAGTAATATTGGAGTTATACATCGGAGTCGTTACCTTTAAACATAAGAGGATAATAACAGCCAGCCTGTTCGCTTGAGATCGAACCCACTTCGAACTCATACTATTAAATGGTCTTAACTACTCGGCTACTGGAGACAAAAATATATATATTTAAAAAAAACCTGAAAGTTTTCAGATTTTAATGTCATCTAAAAATTTTCCCTGCAATATTAGCTCTTCTTCTGTCAATGGATATTCGAGTTCTTTGCTTTCTAAGTCGTTTGGTTGTTAATTCTTCTTTGCTCCTATCTTGTTTTTTGGTTGTCACGTAATTTTCCCAGTCGTTTTTCATGTGACAAAATCTTTTTCTCTTCGGTTAAATGTAGTTGTTGCATCTCTTTATTTGAAAAGTGATCCGGTACAATGGTAATTTGACAAAAACCTGCAATACGATACAGCACGAAATAAAAAATAAATAAATAGAAACAAGCACAGACTACATAAGAATCAATAGAAATCATAAGGATAGGAGAAACGGGAGGCCTATAGATCCTTTGCCTAGGTGTTCTCCGTCAAAACTAGAAACATAACTTCTTCCAAGTTCCTCTTTCAGCCGCGATTAACACGCAATAATTACGTGTTGTGTTCCGGTTGTCTTGATTTAGATGCTACTAAGTGTGCAGAAGGTAGAAAAATGTTTGAGCTGGGGGGGATAGCAGAAAGCTGAGATGTGGAACTTCTTTCTCGCGAAAGTATTTCAGTCGCCCCCTTGCTGTGTATTATCGGCAACATTATTTTTGATTAGACAGCTAAATGAGAGATTGGTATTGACTATTCCCAGTGAACGCATTAGCTTAGAAATGTGTATTACGTATGCGATTCACATATGTGCGGCCCACCAGCGGCCGAGCGGTAAAGTCGCTGAACACTGGTAGTTCGTCTGAGGTTCGAATCCCGCGAACAGGCTGGCTGCATGGGAGTTTTCGTGGTTTTACTCATGTGTATACGAGCCAGTTTTCCTTAGAAAGTCTTCCACGAAGGCATCCCTTCCCTTAGGCAGATAGCCCTCGAGGCTTTGCCATAATCACACACATATGTACAGTCACATATTACATTTTTAAGCTAATGACTTCACATATAAACAAAAGCTAATGACTTCACATATATCAAAGCTTTGTCGCTTCGGTGTTAATATGTGAAGGCAAATCTTCATTGATGATTCATTGACTTTATTGATTCATTCAAAATGAAAGCCACCCAGTTCAATTTCGTGGATGCTGAGTGTGAAATAAGGATTATCAATCCAATTTTTTGACAAATATTTCGACACC